ATAAGAATGCTGTTGATTGGTCCAGTGGTGAGGATTTTTGTTTTCTTTACATTAGCCATCAGAAAAATGCTAATTAAAACCAGTGGTCAGGATGTGGCGAAACTGAAAATCTCATCCACTGTTGGTGGGATTGTAAAATGGTACACCTTCTGTGGAAAACAGTTTTGGTACCACATGCCCCAGCAATTTCACTCCCAGGTACATACCTAAAAGACGTGAAAACAACCTATCTATTGTCTGGCTGAAAACTGAGCCGCAGACCTGAACGGTGACTAAGGGCCACAGTCTTGGCGGTCTCACCATGTCTGACAGTAAGCCTGGTGTGTTTTGTGATTTTGAATTTGGTTTCACATTTTCTTCCACTCAATCCAGGACATCTAATACCTTTGAAAACAGTTGGTAGCCAGGCACCATCTAGTTCTGGTCTCAGAGTCGGACGGTTCATTAGTCCACTGGACTAATTGATTCCATGTATCTTTGTTTCTTTACTTTTCTCTCCTCCAGACAGGGATAGACCAATAGCTGCTCCTTTAGATGGCGGCTCATAAATGGCTCAGTGGCTCCTCACCAAAGTAGGATGTAGGATATAGGATATCCATTGTCTTTGTGGACTATGTAATGCCAAGAGAACTTGGTGTCCCCTGAGACCCCTGGATCAGCAACTCATTCCCCAAAAGTGTTTGGTTATATCTATGAAGTTTTCTTAAGTTTGCCCCCTGTATGCTCCTCTACATTCATAATTTTATTTGTAGTAAAGGTAAATATCCCCTATATATTTATATTTGTGGATATATTGTTACTCTCCTTCCCACGCCTGTTCAATCTGCTTATCTATTCAATTGTATATTGCCCTCCCAAGTAACGTGTATTAATTTCTTCCCAAGTTCAAAATAGTCTGTTGTACCTTGAAATTTACTTGACATTTCCATTTGAAAGTTTTGTAAACTACACTGTTCCCTCTTTTTGTATTGTTATAAACTGGTAACTCTGGTTCCCTATTTTCAGACTTATAAATTTGTTTTACTTTGTATATTTCAACATCTGGGTTGGTTTCTGGGTAGTGGTGTTATGCATGTAAATCTCAGGTTGTTTATTGTTGTTAATTCTTTGTCCAAAGAACTGGCTTTGCTATTTCTAGTAAGGTTAGTCTGGCTTTTACAAATTCCTTTTATTTCTGTTTATCGGGAAATGTTCTAATTTTGCCATTGTATTTGTTGGGGACTTTCTTTGGGGGCCTATCTTGTTTGGGGTTTGTTCAGCTTCTTGAATGCTTATCTTGTTTTCAGGATGTTAGGGAAGTTTTCTTCCAACAACTCTTTGATAATTTTCTTTGGACTTTTGTTTGTGTGTGTGTGCGTGTGTATGCTCCTTCCTATTCTGAAATTCTAATCACAGATAAATTATTCCTCTTAATGACATCCCACATAATTCTTAATATTTTTTTTGTGTGTGTGTTCTTTTTTCTTATTGTTTCTCTAGCAGATTAGTATTGACAGATTTGTCTTCAAGCTCACCAATTTGGCCTTCCACTGATTTGCCCTTTCAATGTGTTATCGATTTCTGAAATCTTAGTATTAATCTTTAGGATTTATTTTTGCAGTTTCTTATGTTTAATTTTGTCCATTTGTTCTTGCAGTGTTTTCCTGAATTCTTCTAAAGTGTTTCCTGTGTTCTCCTTGCTTTCTTCTATAGCTTTCTCTCAATTTTTTTGAAGGTACCTAAGTATTATTTTTAAAAATTCCTTATAAGGCAGTTCCCATGCATTTCTTCCTCAGAAAAGTCTTCTAGTTCTGTATTTTGGTCATTGGCTTGAGATGATGATCTGTCTTGTTTCTTTGTGTGAACTGAAATTGCCTGTTTTCACTGAAGAAATTATACTGTTGTATTTGTATTTAACTGATGCACACAGGCATTCACCACCTGTCTGCTGGTGGGTGTGATAGAGGATGTGTGTGTGTTTCTGCAGTTCTCTGTTGGTGTAGCTCAGTTGAGGGCAGGGATAGCCAGTGCTGTCTGCTGTCTATTGATGATTAGATAGTTCGTTACAGGAGTGGATAGTGGCCCTAGCCCAGTAATTGGTGCTGAAGAAGGTATGGCTATGGCTGGGCTGTTTGGGCACAGATATTGTCTCCCACTAAGTGGGACAAAGCAAAAAAAGAGAGGATAAAAACAAAAACACCCAACAGCAAATAATAAAGAAAAAAAAAAGTAGGCTAAGGGGGAAAGCAGGCTAACAGCAAACAAGAAATAATTTAGTAACTAACAAGCAAAAAAGGAACGGAAGATCAAAACAAGAGAAAGGAAAATGTGAAAAAAAAAAAATATATATATATATACAATAAGCAAAACTGGTGGTGGTGGCTATGTGCCTGCCGTGGAGTCGGTTCCTACTCATAGCGACCCTTTACAGGGTTTCCGAGGCTGTAAATCTTTTCGGGAACAGAAAGCCTCATCTTTCTCCAGTGGAACAGTTGGT